TCTTCCAAGATGTATCATTTATTAGTGGTGCAAACGATAAATGCGGTTGAGAAGCATGCTTTCTTCAGAGCAGCCTAGCCTTATGATAGTATTCACGGATGGGTGCAACTATGTTGGTAATTATAGCCACACACGCCGCTGAGTGTCGTCTCACCATCTTTTTCATCTTCTTACCGTTTGATGAACAGTAATGCGTCCTTTTTTGAGGCTGAACCCCTTTACCTCCAAACAATTTTCTCGCGGTAAATTATTCAGCAGCATTTCCACTCTGACATAGATTCTTTACGATCCACCGCCACGGCCATTATTAACAGCCGCATCGATGAAAGCATTATCAATAATTACCGCGCTAAGCCCCTTCAGCGAGCTGCGTAAGGAATATTTACTGCTGCTGAGCTTCTCAGAGCATCCGCCGACGGTTAATGTCCCGGGGGAGGGACGGACCGGCACGCCAAGCGTAAACACGGCTAGTGACCTTGGTAGTGGAGAGGTCTAGGGCCCGGGGATTGGCCCCGATATCATGGACCGGCCAGGAGACATTCTCGGATCTTGTCATAAGAGCGTCGCTTAAAGTTTACATCTTTTTTTCCGAGGCCTGCTAGTTCAAATAACTTTTTTTGCAAAACGTAACAAAGAAGTGATAATTTTACCATCTGCGGTCCCGCTTAGCATGAGGTTTAAAAATAAAGCTCCATACGAAGGTAGTCACAAAGCGGCCGGTGCGTGCCGTAAATTGAAACTGCAGTATCCCCCCTCCCCCAACACCTGTCCTTTCATTATTCTCAATAAGATCTCAGTGCGAGTTTATTTCCCGACACCATCTTTGATCCAAACTCTAAGCGACAGTAGAATGTCACATCAAAGGACCCCAGGTCTTCTGGTCCGCTGTCACACGCCTCCAAGCCGCTGAACTGGCGACACTTTCGCTGCAGTGACAAAGTAATGCATTCTGGCATGGTATCATGATATGCTCATACAAATGTAAGCAGTTTGCGATAAGTTCAACAACTTTTGTAAAATTACTGGCTGAGCGCTTCTGTAGGTAATAATACAATGCTTAAGGTAATATTAAATTGCATACAATGTTTACATAAGTCAAGAAATCATCCTCGCGGCTCTGAAAATCTTGTTTCATCAGACGCAAAAAGGCTTCAAAGAATCTGTTGTCGCTAAGCATGTTGTGCGAGTAATATCCAGCAGCGTTCTGCCAAAGGAAGCGAAGTATAGCGTTATAACTTATAATGCATTCTGGGAATATTGTCAAGGGTACACGGATGTATGCAATGTTTAGCAATGCAATGATTCTTTTCATGGCTAATATTTTCAAGAACTCATCCCGATGTGTTCGTGAAATAGCGCAAGGCAAGTATTCGTGCGGAATGTCCAATGTCCATGCTTTTAGTGGCTAGTTATTCGGAAGCATTCTGTAAACTGCAATTTAAGAAGAAGCATTTCAAGGTATAGTCTGCAGACACGAGCTCACACGCCAGCTCCTCGGATACGCCCAATGAGTGACGCCCAGGCACCATGCTGCTGAAAATACTTAGAAAATACGCTACAATACTCAGAGTGCCGAGTCCATCTAGTCAGTGCACTACTTAATACTTGTTGGCGCATATACCTAGGGGAAAATTATTCTTCTAAACAAATCCCGGCCATTCATTTCCTCCTGCTGACCAGCTAGCTAGTATCTGATCAAAACGTGATAAAACTGTTTTCATTGAGGATTTCTAAGAGATCCTATCTTTTTCATGCCGACCCTGACATGCACTGAACTCACTACAAGTGCAAAAGCTACCTCGCTGTGCGCAATGCACCGAACCACACGAAAGCAATCACCAAAACAGTCCGGTCAACTGGGACGACCGAGCGAGCCTGACCTTGTGTTTGCTGCAGACTAATTTGCCATTATGTTCCTGCAAACATACGGAGCGGCTCTTACATCCTCGCCAAAACGTCCCGCCTCACTCCACGCTCGCTGGTTAGGGTTAGCGGCCACTCGTGCTGTGCGAGTTGGGCATACACGTCACACGTCCCGTATTATACACAGGGAGGTTCCCCACCACACCAGAGTGACAGACAGCACACAGCGTGAGAGACAGGACACCCGCGTGGGAGACTGGACACAAGCTTCACCGGGATTTGTCCGGGGTTCGTCTACTCACGCTCATAGTCGTGAAGGCGTAGGAGTTGGTGGGCTTGCCCTTCATAATGCGCGACTGCTGCCACTTCTTTTTGAACTGCTGCAGAACCTGCGAAACGGACAAAACTGTTCAGGAAATTGCGTTTAAATTCGTCATCTACTTAACTAAAACGATGCGTGGCCTCCTGCACGTGTCACGAATGCAGCACCTTCCATCGTACACTCATTTTACAGTGCTATTCCATTGCTATTCCACTGTAGCTGAAATAGCAGCCCACCCACCACAACCGCTCACATACAGCACGGGGTAGCGGTATGCGCCGTCGCTGGTGTGTGTCGCGCTCCCAAAATAGAGCCACGAACGAGACACTGCACCACTCCCCACGGAGAGCACCATCGCTCGACATCGATTCCCCGTGCGTGATGAACAGGGCCGCGCCGTCTCTCGACCCGGGACGTCACGGAAATAGACACGTCACGTCACGGAAACGGACGATCCCGTCACGGCACAGCGCTCCGCCGTTCGTCCGCGTCACGGAGAGGACGTGCTCCATAGAGCGCCAGCTTCACGGCACGGGGTGAATCACGGCCACAAATCACGGTTACGTCAGCGTAGCGTGGACTGCTATGTGTGCTGGTCCGTTTTCCAGAATGGCAGGAAACTTTTGCACTTTACTATAAAGTCAATTAGCAATAATCTCAGCCCTAAAATTATAATATATTTTGGTGAGAGTCACATATCAACCCAACAACCAAAACAAGCTCAAACGAACTTGGCTGAAAATATTAACCAAGAGTGTTTGTGGCTTGACAGCAACTTTAACAGGCACATTTTATGCGTAAGCACGAATCAGCTTTGGGCGGGGCAGCGACAACAATCTAAAGGATGTACCCACTTGGCTTTAGTGCCTTTCTGGCGAGTGTCACACTTGATCCCACACATTTACATAGTTTATGCAATGTAAACAAAGAGTATACGGAGCGTCACGACACTGAAGACAAGGTCACTATCATGTGTACAAAAGGACATGCAAATTAAATCCATCTTTTGAGATATTCTATAAACGATCGTGGTCAGAAGAAGCTGCGGCAGAAAAGCTAAAAATTGTGTGCGAAATTACTTATTTTCTCTTGGCGGGGAGGGGGGATAATTTGTTCTTCTTTAAAAACACTACGCATCCTTTGAAGTTTAAGCATATTCTTCATCCAATAATTATTAATTAGATTTAAGTGTCTCGTCATGTAATGTTCATGTAGCGTTCACATTAAAACTACCTATGAATCAAACGCAACTAAGGTGATTGAAATTACATTACTTGCTTCAACACATACAAAGAAAGGTCACTCACAAGAAAAGTCGCAAAATTAGCCAATAAAAAATACTGCTGTTAAATATCTGAAGAAGTGTCGAAAAGCGCCAAAAGTTCAAACAATTTCGGTTTCATTTGAAACGGACTCTCCGCAGAAGTAACTAAATAAGTTCTGATTCACTCCGAATCGTCGGGGCGCTCGAATTCTCCTACATTTAGCCGAATTAATGCGGGATTTCCACCGACTAATCAGCCACTAATGCGCGCGAACTGTTCTGGTAAGAGGAGCTGCGTGGGCGCCTAAGTGGATTTATAACAACTGACAGCACACAGGCTTGATCAGCCCTCCCTAAAGGGGTGCCTAGATGGCACAGACGACGTGCTTTTTAAAGGACAAACGTTGATAGAGGTGAGGCAATTAACAGCAGGGAGAAGCTAGGCCGGTGGCCTAGCTGTGTGGAGACAGAATTAAAGGTGAATGAAGTACGGAAATGAAGAGGGGAGACGGAATAGGACCGGAGTGGAAATGGAACGAAATCGGGGCGGATCCAACACGGTTTAAAAGAGGTTCGGGAATGCGAAACAGGACAAGATGGACAGCATCTGTACATACAGCTCAGAGTAATATGCGATAGAAACAATCAACTTCGCGTGTTTAGTGGTAACACACTGCACGTCGTCGTCATGACTTACCTCTCCATTCATGAAGCAGAAGAGCAGGGCCACGCAGAATCCCTGCAAACGAGACGAAACAATCAAATTACAGACAAATATTCCTGTAATAGTCGGGAAGACGAATAGTCGTTTTGACACAGATAACATTCCCTTCAGAAAATCGAGAACAGTTTGAAAATGATTTATCTGTTGTTCAGGTGTCCGTCTACCTTAGCCACTGATAATAGCGAGACTTATGCAACAACGGTTGTCGTTTGATGACCGGTGATATTGCAAAACGGCTCATCTTACACACCGGATTATCGAAATACTAGTAAGCAGCAACCCCCAGCTGCACTTATGGACATTGGCATCCCATGCGTACGGATTAGATATGTCAACGCATCAACAATATAATACCGCGATGAACTAGAATATGAGGTATAACATCGTTGTGTAGCTCGTCTCTACTTGCAATACCGCTGCGGCAGCCCATCTACCAGAACTGCTCTCTTTCCAGCCGACAACAAAAAGCTCCATCAGGCGGGTCGGCGGTCCGTTCATTGAGCTGCAGTTCTGTGCCGGTCATTTCAGGACCGCCTCGGACTCGCACCGCACCATTTCTCATCCTTTTTACTCCGGACCCGCTCCTCCGGCGCTCGGCAGCTCGCCGGCAGCACGGCTGACCTCCTAACCAGACGTTTGACGCGCCCGACGGCTCGGCCGCCGCTCCGCTGTCCCGCTGCCGACTTTTGCACGGCGCCGCACATCGATCAGCGCGCCGCGTCTGCCGCAGACGCGGCCACATCGCCGCCGCGCGCGCCATCCATCCGGGCAGCCATTATTGCCAGTGCCGGTGCGCGCGGCGCGGCGAGCCTGGCCCCCTCTCCCGCTCACCTCTGTCCCTCGTGCCGCTCATGAAATATGTCACCAATCAGTGACCAATTAGCGGCAGCTCGGAGTGTTGGCGGAGCAGAGATATATCGGTGCTCCGCACACCAGGGAGCTCGCCGGCCAAATTAGATCACGCCACCGCACTGCCGCAGCCGCTCGTGCCAGCTACCACGACCGGGGCCGCGTCACGCCCGTCTGGACACCTCTCGGTGATGGTTTTTTCCTCTTAATAATTATCCGGAAATCCTATGCCATGTTTCCAGGCGTATGACAAAACACAGTTTGACGCACCGCTCATCACGAGACCAAAGTCCGATAAGGTTGGCAGACCTGCGCATGCCACAGAGCAAAGGTAACATATCGACTTTTCACAAACCGAGTGTCTGCTGTGCTACAAATATTTTGGGTATTTCTCATCAAATAGCAATAACCAATCAAAATGCGAATTGCCATTGCTATTTACGGCTCTGAATGACAAGGTAGGATATGTAGCAGAGCAGCCCTGCCGATGTTGACGGCTACATGTTGTCGTCTGACATGAGCTGAGCATGACTGCATAGTACATAAGCCATGCACTTATAGATATTACATTTTTTACATCATAGTTCTGAACGTTGGCATACCCTATCTACCAAGATTGATCCGCGATTGATGATGTCATTTCGGAGAGTGGTAAGCCCTATCTTACCGACCGAAGAATCACAGTCCGGTCACCCCAGCTTCAGTTGAGACAGCGTGACTGATCGCCCTCTTATGGAGACACGACACACTTTGTCCCAACTCCGTGACACTGGTCCGTGAAATGTGCTCTGACATGTCAGCCGAGCTGCTAAAATCGGCTTGCACCACCCCACCCGGGCATAACTACGTGCTGAACCGTTTTGAGTAGGTTCTTGGGCCACAGGCCGTCTATTCACGCGACGAGCTCAGACACTGAATTACGCCGTTTGGTTTTCTCGATGCTGACGGCTATGGGACTGCTACATGAGAATTATTCGCCGAATATTTAATGAAGCTTCATGATTATTCAGCAGGAATAAGGTAAAAGAAACATCAAAGAGCACTATTCCAGATGAAGAGCAAAAATAAACCAAGTAGGATACCGATACCTCCAAAGATACGTCAAGGAATTGTATTTCGGGGCTCGTCTCAGCCTTAGAGACCGTCGATCAACCAAATGGTAGCGTTAGATGCTTCCATCCGCGATGAGAGAGATGCTCGGTCAAGGATCAGAAACAGCCGTGAACCTTTGGTGCCTTTTGTGAGAGCGCTTCTGGTCAGTTGAGTACATCTGACTGCGCCAACTCTCTCACTGAATCCCACATCAGCTTGATTTATCATGCGCGCTCAGGTGTCGACTTTAACAAAACGTACTAACCATCATCTTATTGCACAATTGCTCAGCTGTAACCAGGCAGCGTGGCTAATTCAGGCCTTGTGCTGCATAAAAGTGGAGATTTAGTGCTCGTTTGGTACTTTGATGAACGAGTGGTATTTAACCTTATTCTGCACAGCTGTGTCGGACATCAGCGTCAGCTGTGCCGCGTCAGACCATAATGGAGCATCAGTGCAACAAATATCAGGGATGAGTAAGGGCAGAACCCCAAACTGAATACTTGCACCAACATGACACAAGGTTAGCTGGGAAGTGGGAACTACTATCGAGTACGGCTCGCGAGACTTCTATTCGACTTAGGAGTAAAGTGGAAGGCTACTTAATACTACTTATTCTTGAATTGTGCAACCAACAGACTAACTTAGGTATGTCGGGTATGTCAATCAAAATATGGGATCAGCTCATACAATTGATATCAAAGCTACCCGCAAGTCATGAAGAGCATCAGTGGACATGGTTATGGCAGATCCCTGGCTGGCAACAAATAGCCCAACAATATGTCGGCAGCAATAGGTTAACAATAGCAGTACCTAAGCTGCTACGGTGCTGCTGGCATGGCCGATATCGAATGCTATATTGAATCTGGTCCAATCGTGGAAACAATGAGGCTCCAGTGGCTCCTGAGCTCCGGATAAGTTGGTCGCCAACTATTCCAATATCGGCCGGCCGGCCGCTCCCCTTCCCCCTCCCCTCCCTGACAGTCGGAGAGAGGCGCACTTGTTGCATAAGACAGTTTGTCTGAGGAAGAGTCCAGCTTAGTAGACGTCAGAGAGCCGAGCCTTAGCTCGCTGGAATATTGGCATGGTACGGGGATACATGTCCCGATGCCATTTTTGTTTTATTCTTAGCTGCGTACTTATTACTTTTATGCGATACACTTTGCCCATTACATGGGATGATCCATGATGATGGCGTTCAATGAAATAATAAGAATGAACTCTGACGTTAGTAATGTCCAAATACCTATTCCCTCGAAAATACATCTCAAGCTTCTTATGCCTGTCCGTATGCCGACTGATCAATACAACCGGTCACGGGCCATCCACAACAACACATAAAAAGGTAAATAAGGAAACTCTAAAGGTTCGTGACACACCACGTGCTCTGTCGCGTCGCATCATCCCTCGCGCGGCTCCATATCGCCTAACTCGGCGTCTCCACGTCTCCCGGCGGCCGCGTCAGGAGACCCACGGGAGACCTGTACGGCGCCGAGACCGAATTGCGGCCATCCGCCCCCCGGACGCGATGGGCCCCCCTCGGTACATCGACAGTGGCCTGACGACCTCCGTAAAGACTTGATCCGGCTCAATTTCGGCCGGCGCCGTTCCCTATGCATGCTTGGTGGGATTCGGCGCGTATGGCAGTGCGGAATGCCTCCATCGGGAATCGTAACCTTCTGCCCCGTGTCAGTGATGCAAATTGAGGCCGCGGTCGGCAGTGTGTAAGTGATGTAAATTCGGGTCACCGCTAATTCGCTGACATTTGCCGTGTCGGCCGATTAGATCGGAGTTTTGAGAGTGGTATGGAGACAAGACAATGAGATGATTGGGTATTCCTCAGAGGGAGTGCCAACTGCCAACTACATGGCGGCTGCCTGAACACTGAACAGGTAGTGCACCCTAGCAGGATACGCAAGACGTATAAATTCACCATACGTCATCGATCGTGCGTCACCGCCTGTTTTTGTTGATGGTAATGCTACTAAGGAACTGAACAAGTTAGTCACGTTTAACGCAAGAGCTTGGCAAGGTTAATTTGTATGTTTAAAAGAGTTTTCTTCACATGGGTTCAAGTCATTTGCTGAGTGTACTGAATACCAGAACAAATGCGCTGAGTGTGGCTCTGTTTGCTTTTTCCAAGCAGACCTCAGCAGGTGCGAAACCCGATATACGATCGCCTTTACCAGCGAGGTGAGTATTTTGAGACATTGACGTCAGCGTCAACCTCTTCAAGTCTCAATAACGGCAGCAAAGGTGAGCCGCTCTGGACTGGTAAAACGCCACGGCTCAGTCCAACGCGTTCTTTTCTTTTCTTTTTGTACGTAGGTGGTACCGATGATACCAACCGACATGAGGTGTTGCTGTACAGTAAGTTGTTTTAAAAGTTGTCCACTTCTCCGGCCAGGCCCAGATTTTACTCTCCGCGACAAAGACTAAAAATGACAATTCCAACACTGGACTGGGTGGGGCCATCATGAAACGACTGGGACCAGCAGACACCAACCGAAGACCAACCAGGACCAGCCGGGACCACTGATCTCCCAGCCCGTACTCACCTGCGCCGATGTGGTGACGGCGTTCAGGATCTGGTAGACGTTCTCCCCGGGAGCGCCGGGCTCCGGTCTGAACGGTGCCAGCATGTAGTTCAGGCCGAGCAGCGGGATCAGGATCAGCGTGGCGCGCACAGCCCGCCACGAGTTGTTGTGTTCCTCATTGCCTGGAGACAGAGAGACGGATTGGAGTGACACGACAAACATGCGGGTGTCGGGCTAAATTAAATGGGAAGCAGCGCTGAGTGAACTAAAAGAAGGCGACGACGAATTGAGAAAAAGAAAGGCGCAGGATGAGAGCTACAAAATAAAAATGAGACTCTAGCTGGACGCAGGTAATATGCTGGGAAGGGAACGGGAATAGAAAGGGAGCAAACGAAGACGGGGAAGGGACTAAGGAAAGAAAGCGGTAGGCGCGAGACACCGTGAACAAGGACAGGGTCTTTTTTTCGCTCCGACGCGTAGATTGCGTGTCCACACGGAACAACAGCGCCCGGGAAGTTGGACACAAGTTGGTGCGAGATCTGGCCTAAAGCGTGGCGCCGGCTTCGGACCGCTGTCACCCTAGTTTGTGTGAACTCAACAACACCGGTGCGTTGATCCGCCACGGAAAAAGTTTGATCGAGTTTTCACTCCCCTGCCCCCACCTCGCTCGATGTCGTAAAAGCACGCCCTTATGTAGTTGAAATAATGTTGGATTTGCATGTACTAAATAATATTCAAAGTGAATTTTACCAACAGAAACGATAACAAATGAACAACGAATAAGTTAGTTTAAACCAAGCGCAGCGATCAGTGATGCACTTTGGAGACATTGAGTTGAGTACCAATTTCAACATGTAATGCAATTTGCTGGGACGAAAAGTCATCATTGCAATTAACTCCATATGCTCAAACGGAGGGACTCCGCATTCCACAGAGATGGCGTCATATTTTTGTGAGGCGTCGGCACCATGCGCCGTTTGAACGATTGCTCAGGTTCGGGGCCTTGTGTTGTCAAAACAATCGGTTAATTTCCTGTTTTCAGCCTTCTTCTCATTTCCATCGACGCTAAAACACATTTCTTTCTGCGGGCGCGCCCCTGCATGCGTGTTGGTCCCGTTCATTCTCTGACCGCGGCAGGCCAAACACATAAACCAGCCGCTAACGCCGCGCAGATAGCATCGCCGCCGAGAAAGACTGTTGCTGTTGGCGCAACATTGAGCTGTTTATACAGCCCTATTTCAGCGCGTCCTCTCGGCCGGTGAATGCCCACCGACACTTGCTCAGAGGAGCACTATCGCGCCGCGGCCGGCGTAATTTACACCGGCTGTAAGGCCGACTTGTAGCCGCTTGATGATATTAAATTCGACACTGACATCACCCAGCATGGACGCTAAATGTACTGACGCAATCCGCCAGCCACCTGACGACGATGTAGGCTACCCAGCCGACCGGCGCACACAGTTAACCCAGCCGAGGTCACTGACGCTGACCGGAGGTCACTGACCTCTGCGAGGTCACTCACCTGGGGCGGCGCGCAGCTTTCTGACCAGGATCCAGACGATGCGGACCAGGAACACGAAGTTGGCCAACATGGAGGTACAGACGGGCGCAGAGAGCAGCCAGGTGTAGGCCTCCTCCATCCAGCACCTGTGGAGGACCGGAGGGAGGCGGTGGTTAAAAAGGGAACTGAGGGAACGCAGTGTTTAAAAGGGGAACGGCGGAGAGCGGCCGCTAGAAGTCAAACAGCAGAGGGTGGTGGTTAAGAAATGGATAACAGAAAGTAGCGGTTAAATGAAGGACGGGGGAAGAAAGAGAGGAAGCGGGGAAGAAAAGGCTTGTGGGAAGTGGCGACCACATACGATAACAAATGTGAGCTTCCCATTAGTTCAGTAACGCTGTGCTGCTGCCTGCTATTTTTTAACTTCTTTCGTGTTATTTTTTCCTTTCTTTTTGAAAAACAAAGATTATTGCTCTCGCATATGTAACATGAAACGTAAATTCACATCAACCGTCCATCTCGCGCTTTGACAATACCCATTGCGAGTAATTACTTTTCCATTTTCTTTTCACTCATCTCAGGAATGTTTAATTTTGGATTAGCTACCCAATACTGTCGGAATTTTCACAATCTCGCCGTCCAGTCTTTGTGAGGATGTCACCGCTTCTCGCCGGGCGACGAAAGTGGAAAGTGCGAGGGTCTTCAGAAACGTTTCGTTTTCATCACGCCCTTGTGATATTGGAAACCTCCCTCGCCGCTCGGCGAAATATGCCGGCCCGACGGAGGAGATGATGACACAATCGATGACATAATAGGACGAGTGGAGTATGGAAGAGGCTGGACATATCGGCAATATCGCAGGCTGAAGTGCGCCTTTGTCCTTATGATTGCGCATAGGTGCTTCAATAAAACACGGGCTTGACTTATTCATCGGCTAATTTTGAATTTGGAACTTCGGCGTTTCAAACGTTTTCGGCAATGATATGGGCAATGGTCAATGGACAATTATTTGAAGTGGGGAATCTAGGAAGGTTTCCCATTACTAGAATCGTAAGCAAATGCTGCAAGTTGCAATCAAATTTATTTTGTAGTTACACAAGTGGAGGTGACTATATAAAGCACGAAAACCGAAGACTATTCCCAGGCGTTACTCGTAGAAAAGAAAGGGACCAATAATTCGGAGAAAGAGCACTACAATAAAGTATAGTCATAGTGAGGCCAAAGGTGGATGGATTCAGATAAAATGCTTTGACTGGCCAAAATTTGGACCAGTGCTATCGCTGATAGTTGAGACTCCAATGCAGCAAGGATCTTCATCCATGTTTTTATCTATGCCTTCAAGAATACCTACATGAAATTGACAAAACAAAAAATATGTTGAGCAGACCACTTCCATTTCCAACAGCACATCAGCGCGCTGTTTGTTTCCAAAATTGTCTGGCAGCTTTCGTCGCCATTTTCACGGTTCGACTGCATGCTTTGGCAGCGATCGCCTGCAGCTGATGGCTGAGGGCGATTGGCTCGGAATGCCGTCTACCTGGCCCGGCCAACCGAAACATTGCAGCGAGTTCTGCAGCTCCCGAGGGGCTCCCACCGCTTCCCTGTGCCGTGCTGACCCCTACAGATCAGCTGCTGTCGCCTCTGCCGCTCCCATAGACGTCAGAGACGCTGCCACAGGTCAGCAGCTGACCACAATCTCTATCATCCCAACGACTCCGCTCTTTCCATGCGTTCTCGCACAATCCTGACGGATGCTCTGATTTGATGACTGCGGGTCTCGGGCGAATAGACTCCGTATCATTCCCGTAAGTACAACGAGTGACGGCCGGTTGTATGCAGACCATTATCTCATATATTTTTTCCGGACAGAATGTGGCTCGTTATCCAGCTACTGTAAGCTGTAATAACTACTGTGACCGCTGGGAGCTATGTTTCCTGCGCAGAGCCGCCGCATGAGGCGAGGCTCAGCCTCGGTAGCTACCTCGCCAGCCACTGGGGTCACAGCATCATCCGCTGCCGCCGCCCACCGCCTTCATCATCATCTCATCCCACCTCGCTCTTTGTGTGAGCCGCTCCGGACATCGCAGCCTAGATAGGCTCCGCAAAAACGCGCGGACTGCAGCTGAGCTACGGCCTATTTGGCAGCTCCAAAAGCCGCGATGAAAGCAGCAGCCGTTCAGTTCGATTGGTATCATATTTTTCGTCATCTTCACCTCTCAATTTGCTGCGCTCGTCGTGTGACCTGGTGGATGGGAATAGAGGCACACACGGATGCGGACGGGACAGTCCCCTGTTCGCCGATTACACCAGAACGATGGAAAGTTCTGCTCGGCACAACAAGGCACGGACGCAGCTCCGGGGCGGGTCTGGGCGGCTCTGGGCGGGGGCGGGGGCGGTCCAATCACGCCGCTCGCGGACAAAAAGCGTCGAGTCGCCGGCCGCTCAGCACAATCGCCCTCTGATCGCTGGCCGGCCGCAGCCTTTGTCGTGAAGCGCTCGGCCGGACCGGAACGGCGCAGATTTGGTTCACCAGTCGATCACGGGAAAGGGGGATAGAAGGGGGGCAGAGCGGGGCTGGCCAATACAACACGATCGACCTGACGTAACGTGGCTTGCTTTGAGGTCCAATAATGAGTTCAAACCAATGACTCGTGGTATTTAGTAAAACTTCGTTGTGTTTAAAAAACGACAATAAAACTTAACATTCATAAAAGAAATTGAATCAAATCGCTACAATGACAATTGACAATGTCATTATTGTCCTTGCCGTTTTATTAAAAGCCAAGCTCAATAACCTTAAAACTAAGATGGTTATAAACTGTACCTCAGCTATTTTTAAGCAAGGTTTAAGCAATGCTCCGTTCCGTCCTGCACCCGGAAAACATGTAGGTCCGCATAGCTCCCTAAATCATTTATCACGCAATCAACGGGGTAGGCATGTGGCCCATTACCCAAAGCGATCTTTTCCATTCTTCAGGACATCTGCCAGCACAGGGCTCAATAGTCCTCCTCCCAGCCAATCGCAGAGCTCCGCGGGCCTTCGTCACGGCAGGTGACCTGGGTCAGTCAGCTGACTGCGCGGTACGCCCGCAGGCAACGACTGTCGAATGCCCCGGGGCTGAGCGCTGGTGAGGAACGATGGCTCGTGACTGGGACGCCTAGCGGCGCGGCGGAGGGCGAAATGGATTCGGCAACAAGTCGTCGATCATAGTTCACTTATTGGGTCGGAGGATCAAAGAAAATCCTTCACTGCCCCTTGTGCAAGACATATATGGCAATTAGTTAACTCATTCTCTGAAAAATTGACAATTTTAAAATCTTAACGTTTAAATATCTAAGTAGGAAAGGCTTAAATCAAGTCAAACTTTGCGTCGCCAGTAAAGCGCTACGAGAGGTAAGAAATGAAAAGTTGCTTGTAGTTAGTTTAGGTTAGCCGTTAGGTATTGGTAGCATTGCTTTGAAGTTTTTATATTAGCCGGAGACTTGGAGTGCTTTCATTCGCAGACCTTTTGAAGCTGGGCGACTGTGTTTGTTACTGACCGTAAAGGAAGGCCGTGATTACATAATGTCTATTCCGGCTCTCTTTGTTGACCCAAAATGACTGCCTATGCAAGATTGCATGAAGATTGCATGGCAAGAAAATATTGGTTTCGTAACGAGTATTTGTAAACGATATGACTCAAAATATGCTGCCTTTCAGAGGTCCTCACATACACAAGTTTCGCTCGATCCCGGTACTTCAAATACATGGAAGTTGAACATTATATCAACTCCCTACTTAACAAATCATGGACCGATAAATGCCACAACTTGAATGAATTAGACCCAACCAATCTAAGGACACCGTTATGATATAGAGGCACGGGTATCGAGCCACATTCCACTGCACGCCTGCATATGACACGCCTCTTGTCGCTGGCCCTGACAGAAAGTGGCGTCACTCGCACCGCGGGCGTCCCGGCGTCCCACGCGATATGTGAGTTATCACCTCTGACGTCGGTCCCCAGGGGTGCGGATGACACGACGGATGACGTCCAATCAGTCATTAGGTGACGGACGAAATATGGTTTAATCACCGCGAGAGAGGGGTGGGGAGTGGGCCGGCGGCAGAGACACGAGACTTTTACGGAAGGCGGCACAAAGTGCACAATTTGGGATTTGTTCTATGGTTTATGTGCAACAGCACAATTAAGACGTCACAATTCGCACACGTTACGTTCGTGACGTGACTTATACATGCATCCTTGGACATATCCAGACAGTGTACTGACGTGTTTTGCGTCAACAGAGTGCGTTGAACGGCCTTGGCCCTGGTCCCGGACCTCAGCAAAACAGGTCGATTAATTTGACCGAAGCGGGGTGGAGAGCATTCACGCGAAAACTAAGTAACTAACTAGAATTACGAAAAACCGCCGTAGGGGCTTTAAAATATCACCTCCGTGGTTGTCAGAAACCAATTATCTCGTTTAAAATCCTTAAAAACAAATAGTTGGCTCTTTTAAAAAGCTAAACACAATAAAAAATTAATTTGCAGTACTCTTTCAAAACAACTAGGCCACAATTTCATGAAATCGTTACCAAGATAATTTGTACCTAAGCCGTTAACCCTCGCACGACCAGGCCATTTCTCATAACACGAACGACCAGGGGGGGGGGTTGTTACGACCCCCCCCCTTGGCGTTTCGAAACGGAAGGTCGTAGAGCTTAGCGGAAAAAACCAACGGATTGCTCTCAACGAGATCTCGCGATTGGTGGTATATTTTTTGGTCCTAGGTCAACATTTGACCTACTTTTGACCGGTCAAAGGTCAAATTTTCGGAAAAATAGACTTTTTTCAACTTTCGGCGGCGATTGCGGCAAAACGGTGGGAGATATCGACTTGAAACCTTCACTATCGTGTTCCTTGATCAATTCTCTATCGTTTGGTATGTATTTCGTTTCCCTAGCTCTAAAAATGGCGCGTTGGGAGCGCCGGAAGTCGGCAAGGTCACAGTCGGCGGCAGAAATTCGAAAAATCAAAATTTAAATTTTTGAAATCTGATTGTATTTTTGGATTTGGGAGGTCCATTTGCTCCCTATAGAAGCTAATATTGCTGCATATTCCCATTGAGGTGACAAGAATTAGCAAAATAGTGGTTCGGGCGCTTTTCAAAAATAGTACCGGACGCTGTTCCTCTTGTGACGTCATAGCTCCGTGACCTGACCTGACCCGGTCAAATTTCTTATACCATATGATAGCCAATACTTGCCCCAACATGCATGGGAAGTTTCATCACGATCCATCAACCGATGTCCGTACCACCGGCAGGAAACCTCGGGCGTTGGCACTTAGTTTGTGAAAATCCGGCCGGAGGCTGTACCTCTTATGACGTCATAACTCCGTGACCTGACATGACCCGATCAATTTTTTTTCGGCAAAAGATGCGCAAAGGTTGCCCCAGAGGGTGTTGAAAATTTCAGCCCGCTACGACAAGCCGTTTAGCGTGCACTTCGAAAAAACCTCAGGGGGGGGTTGATACAACCCCCCCCCCCCCCTAGGCGTTCTAGGGTTAATTGCTATAGCTAGAACCCGTTTTGGCAACCCCTCACAGACGTGTAAATTCATCATGGCGTTGTCCCATGCTCTGTTAAATCGGTCATAAGGCAAACAGCGACTTAACCGCAGTTGCACCATGTATGTATGTATGTATGACGTATTGACGATCAAGAGCAATCCACAATCGGCGTGGCGATTACACTCCGCTGAAGAGCGAATCGTCTCGCAAGTTCCTCGACTCGATTTGGCGCTTTGATGCAGGGTATGAGACATTAGAATTATCCCCATTAACCCACTGCAATTATTAGTAGGTCAATGCTGCACCATTTGGTTCAGATATGGTTCAGATCATTAGATATCTGATCCTCAAAAGAAGCTCTGAAAAATATCCCCACGACGGAAATCGCTCACAAAACTGCGCACCTGGCATTAACTAACCGATGCCCTCCTCGAGTAATCCAAGACAACCAGGCTCATCATTAAAACGAAAGATATGGAAATGTAATTATGCTCTGCCTTTGATGATGGTGGGGTCTGAGGGTATTTTTCCGATTGCAGCGAACCCCATTAATTCCTTCTCTGCAGACCGCTAAGCGAGCCAACTAGAAGACCAGTATAGCGCCTTTTGGGGCGACTAACGGAGCGAGCGAGGGGGTGAGTCTTGCACGTGCGAAATTTCGAGGGGGTACCTCCAACTGACTTGTGCACGGCACCCTACTGACCGGTTTCTAGCGATGTGCCAAATTTGAGCACAATCGGCCCAGCCGTTCTCGAGATCTGAGAGCGACACCCTGCACGTGCGCACGTGCAAAATGGGTCCCAACTGACTTGTGCACGGCACCCTACTAACTGGTCCCTAACCGTGTACCAAATTTGAGCGCCATCGGTCCAGCCGTTCTCGAGATCTGGAAACGACCCCTGCACGTGCGCACGTGCAACAGCACCCCAACTCTGGCACATGGATATGCAGTGCCTAGTGGGTGCCTACCTACATGCCAAGTTTCAGCGCAATCGGCCAAGTAGTTACCGAGATATTGCAACAATTACAAAACTGACACCTCTTCGTTTTGCACGTGGCACGTGCATAAGGGGTCACCCACATGCATCGGGAATAGTCCAATACTTGGTAGAAGGAATGAAGCTACCCTACAAAAATTACCGCGTGTAAATCGGTCAAGTGGTTGCTGAGATATAAGCCTCGCAAAAGCGTCCGCACGGCCGGCCGGCCGGCCGGCCGGCCGGCCGGCCGGCCGCTCATACTCAGAAATTTCCGTTATTCTACGTAAGACTCCGCTCGCTTCGCTCGCTCCGTAATAACGAAGCGATCATCTAGCGCGTGTGTCTGAATTCTCCCTGCAGTTGACGTCATGGGATATATAAAGCGCTTGTTCGCGAAGCTTCGTCGTCTTTGGTAATGGCAGGGAGCGGAGAGGGAATCAGTGAAGGCCCTTCAACTATAACGAATCAGTGAATATTCGATGCTACAAACTTGAAGGCATTGTATTGCTCATCATGAGAGAAGTTCAGATCAGACGAAAATAATTACGCATCCCACAAACTCATTTTGCGTAAAATTTATCAAAACAGCTTGAAGGCTTGAACAACTTCCTATAGGAAGTTGTTAGGACTTATAAGTCCTAACAACGTGAGTAAAAGAGACACAAATTTACTTGCTTAGGTACAATAGAGACAAATTAAAACTAACCTCAGCGATGTAGGAGTAAGCACTGACATCACTGTTAATAGCAGCAATCTACCCAAATTTGCCTCACCGGAAAGTAACAGTGTCCGCCATCATGACTCCTATCTGTTTTGCGCTGTTCCGACAGCGCCATAGTCAGTCGGTTAGCTCAGCAGAGGAGATCAGAGCCGCCTGACCGCCCGGTTCCACTTCAGTGGTCCGAGCATCAACAGAGCCGGCGGCGCCCGCTCCTCTGAGACCCTCTGCGCCACTGACCGCTCCCCACTGTTTGGACCCGGCCCCGGCGAAGATGACCTGACACTGACGAGGATCTTCGACGAGTGGCGGCTCCGTCTGTGCCCCTCCCGACGGGACAAAGTGGGGTGCGATTGGTGGGGCACAGGCCGCAGGGTGTCGTCAGATGGCTGAGATCATTAATACGACGTACGGATGGGCTCGCAGAGTCGCCCGAAATTGTCGGGTTCGCACGTATGATATGATGTCAGCAGGATCAGGGGTTTCGTCAGCGGCGCAGCGTACAGCTACAGTCATTAAACGTCATTAATTAACGACCATGGCCGTACATTTCGTAACGTAGCTTGAGGTTAGCCCGTATGTCCCTAGAAAGGTAGCTCAAAGCACGTAAACGCTCAAGTTTATTATAGGAAAACATATGGGTAATGTGCAATATTAATTGTATGAACAGTTAATTCAAATGTAGGTCGAAATTTGTTAGTGACCCCGTTCCTCTGAACATGCCGTGGTCCAGGCACCTCTCATACTCACCAGGAGGTGGTCTCTGGTGGCACGTTCGGCGACAGGCCGCGTACCACCGCGTAGATACCCGTGAAGATGACGGGAACGATCCAGCCGATGACGTACAGCCACTTCATCAGTTTACCCTCGGTCACAAACGCCACGGCCAGCACCGTGTGCAGGTAAAGACCTGGGGAAGAGGGTTAGAGGTCAGAGGTCATGTCACGAGTGTCACGGCCAGCACCGTGTGCAGGTAAAGACCTGAGGGTGGGGAAAGGGGTCAGAGGCTAGACACGGGAGTCAGGTGACCTGAGGAGGACGTACAGGTCAGCGATTGTAAAGCAGGGTCAGTCGCAGAAATAAGAAGAGTCTGGACGGGGTCAAATGCAGAAGTCGTGGCTCAAAGGTCAGACGTAGAGATTGGGCTTGTCGCCGGTGAGCTATAAGTAATGCTTTTGTGATGATAAGTGCGATTTAGGATCAGTGAAATCAGGGAGCTAGCAAAAACATTTTCTTACCACCCTGCCAAACAAAACCTTGTTCATATCAGGGCAGCACCAAATAAACAACAAACAGGTTCCCTGCACAACGATTCTGAATGAGCTTATTCAATCATTCTAATATTGCTGCCAATTGCTGCTGTAGCTGTCTACTTTAGCACTTAACATGGTTCTCATGGGTCGTTATCAAAGTCATAACTTCTCATGAACTGTCTTTGATGCCATAGTCGCCTTCTGTAGTGTCGTCGTGATGCCATAAATGAGCTGCCCAGGCGGAACGTTTCGGGCCGGCAGTGATACCCAGCGCCAAGTGGCTGCACCGCATTTACATCTCACCTATCGCATAGTTAGTTGTAATGATCCAAGAACGTCATGCGAATTTAAATTACATATCCGGCCCCGTTTCGGCAGTCATGAGACGATATGCTTAAGTCCCATCTCCATATCCTCACATAAAAACGATAAAAGTGAAACGCCTTCGGGTGCGCTCCGCGGAATAGTCGTCTGGTCATTTTCGAATCCAAGGAGTCTTATTTAAATCCACCATTTGTATTCTAATCGCTGCCATAGAGCGAGAAAAGTCCTTGAGGTAACACTTGGCATCGCGGTAACTTGACGCACTCCGGCTCTCCATTTGGCTCCATGGGAACGGGGCAGTTAGGCCGTTGTAAAACACGCTCGGTTACGGTTACGAATTGCGGACCATTTATTTCCGGTGTTAAGCGGGTCACAGAGAATTGTCTCATCTCCAAAACAAGGAGACGGACTCAGTAATAGGAGAGCGGTGGAAGGACCGACTAAGCGCATTAAAATGGATGAAATCGGCTCCCAAAGTTGCGTAGTTTGCAAGGCACGCTGTGGCACAGACGACGTTTGGAGCAGCTCCAAATGAGAAACAGGGAAGTTAACAGGATATTCTGTCTTATTACGTGATCAAATGTAGCATGAAAACCGCAATGAATAATTTAGCTTCCCTTCTCTCTCCTCATTAAGTCATCACAGGAACTAACCAGAGCAAAGCAAAGGAAAATGGAAGCAAAACTCGTCATGCCTTGTAAAACGGTTAAGAGACCAAACTCAATGCTTGCCACACATTCGAAGCTCATTTGATTAAGCATAGGTATGTTTTCGATTTCATTTACAATAATTGTTTACCTTCGCAGAACATCCAGAAGTAGTTGGCCACCATGAAGTACTGCACTATTATGTGCATCATGCGACACCAGATCTGAAACACAAGCGCAAATATCAGCAAAACACCACATCGACAAGGGCAGTCATTCGTATACGCACCACCAATGCTCTAATACAATCACTTCGATGCCATGCACGCTCCAGCTCTTTTCAGATTATCATGGCCGAAAGGAGGTTAGTTTTCATAAGGCATAATTTCATCAGAGAATCACCCCTGGCCACAGACGTGCGATAAAAGAAATATTTACACAGTGTCCTCAGTATGCCGAGCACGTAATATTCATGTGCGGCGCATAGAGCACTGTCGAACACACATGGAATGCGTGATAGCGTCACCCTAACATACCGCACGAATATGTAATCCGCGCCCACGACGGGCACTCGGCGGGCACCCCTCGGCCGCACTCTGCACCCCTAGTCTGGCAGCCACTTTGCCAGCTGGTGTTGGTGAAAATCAAATCAGGGGCCGCACAAAACCGGCGGCTGCTGACACCGAGCAGCCGGCTGGTCGCGGCAAATTGGAGTGCCCCGCCCGCTGCACTGTCGGCGGCTCTGGCGGGCCGGGCCGGGCCGGGCGCAGGGCGACCTTTTCCGGCCGGGGACGTGGGTCGGGTGCTGCCGCAAGGGCGGCTCAGCTCCCGATCGACTACGGGCTCAATACCAATACCGGAGAGCTGAATTTGAATTATTGCGGTCTCAGCCAAGCCAGGGTAAATCTCCGGTTTGGACACACCGGTATACAGTGTTGCAGACATCCTACTTGTTGCTCAATGCTGTGACAAATCATGACATGGATGGTATAGGTGTCTAAGTTTACAACGAGGGCAAAGTTAATTCACAGATGAAAAAAGAGTACAAATGTATCTTTTAGAATTTAGGATCAAAAGGTAATGGACTTTCCGATAAACCATTTGAATAACGGCATTTTCTGCATTTAAATCAAAGCGGTTCATACTGAAATTGAAATAAGTTGCAGCACGACGGTAGCAATAAATTTGAGGTGGTACAAATTTATTTACAATACATGCACCAATGACCGTCAAGCATTTGTCATTCCTGTCAATACTCGCTGTCGCAGATCGATCGATCCGGGAATAAATCAAACGCGAACAAGAATATTACGGTTGGAAGAATAATGGCACGCCAAATAGCTTTCGGTTTCCATCGACCCCCGTAGTCAGCAGATATTAATCATCGGTAAACAACAAATAGTTCCTTTTTAGCACAATACATGGCTTCCAACCGCTGGGCAGACGCCTTAAAGTAGTTAGCAGCAAATGAAGGACGGATAATATAACTCCTCAATCTTCTATCTATGCACCAATTTCAGTGGAAAACGGCGACCGATCAGCGCTACAATAATTAATTTGCAAATAATTACTTTGAATTAAGCATTGCATCGTGTTTCACGTTATTCGATTTTAATAGATATTAGATCACTAATTGCTTTAATCCGATCAAGTATGCATCTACGGCCTGTCAACCGCAAGATCTCACAACATTCGCATTCCACATGGCCGGTTCGGGACCGGTTTTCCGTTTTATTGACTTCTGATCAATACTGCACGCCGATGTTTGTTACAAACGACCGGGTCGGTACGTCTGTGCGCCGGTTCGAGACGGGTGAGGTCTGCCGTCAATCCGGGACAGCCGTCAGGGTCCCTCGGCCAAACGCACCATGTCGACATAGAATATTGGGTCGCGCGCGCCGGTAAGAATAGATCAGACGCACGCGGCGTCCGACGCCCGACCGCCCACCGGCCACCTCCACTACAAAGGCGCCCCCGACACAAAAACACGGGCACAGCGCGACCGGAAAACCGACTGGGGACTTCAGGAACTGATAGAAGCCGCACTGATTATGGACGCCAACATGGAACCACCTGCAGGGCAGGGGTGAAGCAGGCTCTTCCGTCAAGGCGAAGAGCAAGGTGTGTTGGGGAGCGGGAAGTTGGAATTTATCGCCAATGAACACTTTTGACAACCATTCCAATGATACAACTCCGTTGAGTAAATCGTTAACTTTCTTCCGATTCTGAAGCGCTTTATGGAACTTGCGCATAAGATTTAAAGAACACCGACAAACTTTAAAATCAAAGGAAGGGCCATTGTAGCTTGCGAATTCCTTGGCACAAAGTCGTTCATCAGCAGAGGTCCACTGGTCGTTAGTCTGTTTCAAGTACGTCCCTCGCTCGCCACTGCGGAAGGACAATCAATAGCCCATCTGAGGGACGATTGGCGTATTTGTGAGGCCGGCGCCAATTAACGGCACAATGGAAAATAATTTGGTGGCTTCGAATGAATTATTTTCACACCGTTTCCCGGGCGAAAAGCCGAAGTGGCGGTAATGGTAGTCGGGTCAATAAAAGCCAATTCGATAAAACTGGCTATAGTCCAAGCATAATCAAGTAGAGGTTACGTGGTTATGTAAAATGTTTGTTTTGATCAATTAACATAGCTAATCGGACATCCAAAGTCAGTTTCTAGCGGAACAACGCATTTGTGGTTAGATGATAACATGTGGATCCAGCATAGCGTTGTTTCCACCGGCTCCAAGTCGCCGTGGAAGCCCCAAAGCAGGCAACACCACAGCGGTGGCTGGTGTCTCGACAACCGCAGTGGTAATGGGGCTCGACCGGAGCGGTTCTAGGAAATTGTCGATCGGGCGAAAACATCCGAGGTTTGCACAATAGAGTCTAGCGGTGGTTATCAGAAATGCATTTGATCAGGGGACTGGATAATATGACGGGTCTCGAATGCCGTCCATGTCGTATGCGCATTGTCATACCGTTAGTAAAGCGTTCGCAAATAGAGAAGAACACACTGGGTGTGGTAAAAACCGATGCTGATATGAAACAATGCAATTCATTAACAAAACAAATAATAATAATAATAATTAATCGAATAACTATACCTTTTTAGGATTAAGAGAGAAGTACCAAGTTCCTTGAAAAACGTCACTTCAATCACGATATCCTAGCAAATAATAATGCAGCCTGCAAGTATCTTAAAACTCTTCAATGGCATAATATTTGGCTCTGTTCGTAGCCCTGCTCACCGTGTTATCATTCAGAAGTTTGACGTCATCCACGATGAACTCGTACCACATGATCCACATGAAGTTGTTGATCATGAACGACACGAACAGGTTGATGTGAATCCGGACACGAGTTGAGTTGAGAGTCGTCCTGGGGGAGAGAGAGAGAGAGAGAGAGAGAGAGAGAGAGAGAGAGAGAGAGAGAGAGAGAGAGGGAGGGAGAGAGAGAGGGAGAGAGAGAGAGAGAGAGAGAGAGAGAGAGAGAGAGAGAGAGAGAGAGAGAGAGAGAGAGAGAGAGAGAGAGAGAGAGAGAGAGAGAGAGAGAGAGAGAGAGAGAGAGAGAGAGAGAGAGAGAGAGAGAGAGAGAGAGAGAGAGAGAGAGAGAGAGAGAGAGAGAGAGAGAGAGAGAGAGAGAGAGAGAGAGAGAAGAGCGTTATAGCGCACCAGGCTGACAACACAAACTTTCGGTTATATTGCACAAGAGCGTTTGACTAAGGTATCACAACTTTGTTGCTAAGTATCACTCGTGCTCCTTCTTCGAGCTAAGTAGCATGGAAAAAATGCAGGCATACTTAGCGACCCTCATTGATCCCAACAGGGTATAAGCTCGGAGATTGAGACAAAGGCGCTGCATGGCGCTGAACTCACCGGAAGTACATGAAGATGAGAAGTGAGATGATAATGGCGGCGAGCGAGATTGAGTAGCCGCAAATGTACACGCTGTTGACGACCTGACGTAACTGCAAATAAAACAGATCAGACTGTCAACGGACAGACAGATGACGAAATAAATGTAACCAACAGTCGAGTGATAATTAGCAGTGGTAAATAGAAAGTAATTATTCTATTGTGCCAATTTATAGCCGCCCTGCTAATGTTTGCTCACCCCTCTAGAATAGCGCCACATCGTAAAAGTGTAACAGCTACCCCGCTACATGACACATCACCCCTTTCCTGCCCCCACACACGCACAGGAGGCATTACATCAGACCGCTACTCGATCGCTAGACATTCTTCTGACTAGGACACCCGTGTCCAACGTGTCCATTGTCCGTTCAGTGGACTGCCGGACAGCTCGCGTGCCGGACACGGGGGCAGCATCACCTGATCACCCGTGTCCGATGCCGCACTATGGGCGCACTAACGAGCCCAGGCAGGCACACCGCGTACGGGCACACACGGCGCACGGAAGGGTTAGATTAATGCGTGGACGGTATAAGGAGAGCGGGATACCCACTGACCAGCGCGTGGATCGCGGCTATTCATTACATCGGATTTATCGTGGCGTGCTCGACAAGGCCTACTGTCTCGGCTACATGAGATAAATGTAGGTGTGCCGTCCTATGGGCATTAACAAGAAGTGCTTAACTTAATTAGTGAGCGAACTAAGAGAGAAATGCGCCGAGGTATTGTGGGAACGATACAAGGATCTGGACGCACGCTAACTCTGCAATGCTATTATCAACAATAACCGCAGATTGTTTGAAACAAGCAAATATTTCTCGTTAGAATTGTGTTTCTCTATTTAAGTGGGCTATCACAATTGTCAATTCAAGTGGCTTGAGTGGAATGTATGCGAACAGAAAGACATGACTAACTGAAATGATCCTTCCTATGTTTTTTTTTTCTGTCCATTGCAGCCATAGGGTTTTAGCGCATCCTGATTCTCCGTTGCCTGCTTTCATATAAGGCTCGTAGATATTGCCTCGACATTGCCCTCCAACGTTAAAACGATTGACCGATTAACTTGACTGGAGGGACGGAAGGGGTGAGGAGGCAGTGAGCTTTGGCACTCTTAAGTCTGAACAGCCCTGAGCAGTTGGGGTTGGAGACCCTTAGAGGAGATGACCTCACGGGGATTTGACCTTGATGTTAGCAGCACTAGCAGCAAAGCAGCAGGATAACATATATGTTTGTCCTCACTCCTCGATAATTCCCACCTATACATTGATAGACAAATACTCATTGTCACTTTAGATAACTGGTAAGTGTAGGTAATATGTGATGTGAATACCTGTACGGTGCTAAAACTGATTATTATGATAAATTTCGTCGCTATTTCCGTGCACGATAAGCTACCAATGATTACCGAACAATGCAAATTATTCCGGAAAATGCAAACTGCCAACTGTGAACGCAGAATTAAAACCACCCCACCTCCATGCGACATCCTTAATTCAGTTTCCAATAGCGCGCGCGGCCCACGGATCATCTGAAACTTGATCATTATTCATTGCTACTAACGAAGCAATAACTCAATCGATTTATGCAAAAGCGATCCATCTGGAGACGTCGACCCGATTAGGGCGTCCCGTGGAGCTGAGCTCTGCCCCCCAGAGGGGCCTGTCTGCCCTCCCTGGCCGCGGGCCGCGCACCGCCAAACCCTATTGATAAACAGGGCTGCAAAGCTGCCAACAGAAAACAAACGGTAGCGCGTGTAAAACAGACGATATTGGACCGCCCCCGGCCTCCTCTGGTCGTCCTGGGCGGACGGGCAAATAGACATAGCGTCCCCCTTCCGTTCCCCGCGACGGAAAAACAGCGTGGACCCGGGTGGTGACGAAGAGGGAGCTACGGGGCAGTGGTGCTTGACGCCGTGATAGGTAGTGGTGAAGGTGATGGTGGAGCTAATGGTGAAGCAAATCTATGTTCTTATTGTAATCATCCCTTCCTCAAAGAGCACCACAAGGCACCAGTGTTGTTAATTTCTTAGGTCTCAAGCACGGTGGCATCATTCAGGGAGGGCTGGCGGTGGGCACGTGGATTAATCCGGGGCCAATCGATACAGCCTCCACCGACCTCATCAGGAACCCACGGCCGAGCAGCGGCGGTACGCAGCCACCCATCAGGAGACGGGTTCCTCCAGTCAGCGGTAACGGAGAGCGTCCAGTGCAGCGGCGAGGGGTCACCGAAATAGGCGACCGAACGGCTTGGGGATATGATATGATGGGGATTTGATATGGCCCCTTGTATACCCTTATAATGCTGTAGAGTCCAGCAGATTAGACTCTCGTAAGCCGGTGTCCCGTGGACCTTCCCCCTGCTCTGATGACCGTATTGCAGCGCCGACCGATGATGAAGATCATCCCATTTCGAATTCCGATACCATGCTGACACTTCCATTCCTTGCATATAGAGGACCTTTGGAGAGTAGTTGGGAATGTGTTTTCAGAACTTTGCAACATTTACTGGATGGTTGAGAGTGATTTCGTCAACACTCAGCAATTTAATTTTAATCATATGAATTGTACCTACCCTATGAAGGCAGACTAGACGCATTATCTTCAAGAGCCGTGCGTTCATAAATTGCATACCTTCAGATGTAAGGCGAGCATATTACTAATTAAACATTCAGCCCATTCAGCGATCTTGATTACCTTAAGCAATATTGCAGACTTCTACTACAAAGACTTGCTGAGCCCAAAACTTAATATTTATTTCCAAAGCATTCCAAAAGCAAGATGTGCCTTTGAATATCAGCATTTAAGGAAGAAATGAGAAATCAGCCTACCACACGTTGTCACCTATTACAAAAACTTATTTCGAAGACAAAACATGTTCTCGCCATTGCCCTTATTCGTATAGGCTTCCATGTTGAAAGAAGCCTATAACGCACATCAACAGCTTGTCGTATGTGTGCTTGCCAAAGCTCATCGCCTTCTCACACTGCACAGCATTGATCTCGTGTGAGCCCCACGTCTGTTTTTATTATCATCCCACCTGAGAAGGCAGTCTTGCAATCTGGCAGTGGGGAGCAATCGACAGCGCAATAAAGCCTGCGCGCGTGCCAACTCCAGCGACCGACCTCACCGATGCAGGCCAGGTGTGGTTTTCAGCCCCCCTCCCCCCCCCCCCGCAGTGCACGCGTTTGTAGGACTGTCTGTCAAGTAAGACAGACGATGTGCGCGGAGTGTGGAGGAAGTGAAACGAACACGCCAGAGAAGTGCATTGGGGTGATCCGTCGGAGACACGTATAATGGACGGTCTCGGATGGCATTTCATCAGAACGGTGGTCTCGTCGAGCTGAAATGTGTTTTAATTTTCCGACATTCTTCAATGTCACACTGTCGTGCGGCATTTCACTTAAAAACAAGGGCGTGTAATATGCACCCGACGGAAAATATATCCTTTGACAATAATGCGTGTAATGCCAAAAATGAGAACATGTTTATAATATCATGTCATACCGTTCAAGTGAAAGCGGTGTCTCTCACTTTGGCATCGTATCCTTGCCGTTTGAATTCCTGTCTCTGACATTACTAAAGCAGCCTCTCGAGAGCCACCCCGCAGCAATGGTCGGTCGTTGTCAGTGAACTCGCACTGATCGCACACGGCACGGGCGTGTACCTATTTGGGTGTCCTTTGAACGCTGAATGGCGGCTCGATGGCCCCGTTACCGATCTGTGGTCATTACAGACTCAGTGGTTCGATCGGTTCGATCGGTCACAGGGACGATCAGAACACTACAGAACGATTTGAAGAGATCGAATTTGTAGGAAAAAGTAAACTTCACAACGAAATGGTCCTTAATTTCCAGTAAATAAATAAACTAGCTAGCGCAACCACAACTCCTAAAACATGTGATAAAACTGCCTATCAACATTCAACAATACCAATTTCAACGACCAAAAAATACAGAAACCACCATCCGCTTCAAACTGGGACAAAAGACATCCCACAGTCTCCTCAGCCACCCGCCAGTGAAGCCTTTAGAGGAGCCCGCTTTCATCTGTCATGGCGGCGCGGCGCGTCACCCAAATCCCATCACGTGCGCAGGCTTCGGCGGCGGCCCGGCACTCTATGGTGGTGATTGCGGAGCGCCGGTACGGTATGAGACATGGCGATGGCCCGTTGGGGGGCACGCTCGCAGCCAACAGTGTTCGGATTATCCGTCAGAGCCGGTCGCCGGTCGCAGGAACGCAGTTATCATCGGCGGCGGCACGTCACACCGATGTATTGCACGTGCGAGGAACGCCAAACAGGAGTTTGGGCGATATCAGAAATACCGGAGACAAGATTGGAGGTAGGTAATAAGAGAGCTCAGCAGGATGTGGATAAAGAGACCAGAATAGTTCATCAAATTGCGAGTTGCGTAGTATTGGCCTCGCTCGTTCAAGATGCAATAGTTATTTGGCGGAAAAAGTAAGACCGATCATGTCAGGAATGACTGGTCTTGCTTCTTACTCAAGACGATCGATGGTCTATTTGTGCAGACCGGCTTACAAAGGAGGCTTTTTGCCCAAACCATATCCCGTCCAAATGAGACTCTTGTTAATTTGAACGGTACCAGTGATCGCACGATTCGAGGCTCCTTTGATAAAGCACGTGCTTTCATGTCGACCTCCCTCTAATTTGTCCGTGATTTCCGCTCCCGTCACGAGACTGACCAATCAATTTTCCATCAGTTTTGTGGGCGTATCGTGACCTTACAAGTTCAACGTCCGTCCCACCAGCAAAGCAAAGCATCGATCGACGGGGGCTGTTTGCAAGGCGTTCGTGTGTGTCGTTTATCGATTTTACTGCTCCCGAGCTAACCAGCGACCTAGTGTGACCTGCAAACGCCTGAAACGGTGGAGCTTACGTTGAATTCTGTGGAACTCATGCCTCAATGTAATGTAGAAGTTACGATAAGGTTGGTGCAGAACACACGTAAATGTTGGTGTGAAGAACTCACGCTGAGGACGAGGTACGCGAGGTCCACGCAGGTCAATGTGGAATGTTTAAGTTAACTCACGCTGAGGTCTCGGAGGTCCACGCACGTCGTGTAGTTGGACCAGCCGGACACGCCTGGTGGCGAGTCCGGGTGCCGAAACCACTCCCCGCTCTCCAGACACGAGCGGTACGCCTCGTCTGAAAAGGACAAAAAAGGCCAGTCAGAAGTTCATCAACATAACAGATCAGTACTACAAGCAATATGACGTGAGACGATCAAGTTACGATTGATCACAAGATCATTAGGACTTAGGAGTTAATTTTTCTGAATTATTTAAGCATTCATAAAACACCGCTTCAACTCTTCTGTTTTATGAACTAACCGATTTATGCAATGTAGTCGCACCAATAAAACAAATATTGCTAAAATAGAAGTAAAAGTAGTTTGACCGCCAAAATTGTCCATTTTAGTTTCGCAACACTTTCGCGTCGAATCATTCAAGATGAAAAACTCTTAAAGAAAATTATATGCGGGCGGTATGGTCGCTCTTCTTCTGTTCTTCGTATTCGGTGAATAGTTGCTTGTCAGAAGTTCAGCATACACTTTATCGTACTGTTTCCAAAGCCCACTTCTCTGGAACTTTTCCACCACTTTGAACAAGGTTGGCTTACGTGGGCTTCAAATGCGTGTGACCGGACCGGAGATGAGGAGGGCATTGGGAGGAGAGCGGAGAGGGTTATTGTTATCGATCGACTTGCGGGAACTTTGTCACGCTCTATAGTTCACCTAACAAAGACAGAGGCCACAGTGGGTCTTGTCCCAACCGCCGGCACGCGAGGAAGAAGGGACTGGAATGCTCAGCATGCCATGTGTTTGTACATACACTTATTGAAACCTTTATGAAGAAGGCGCCTTTCAGGACGGAGACATTTTCTCTCAGACTGACAAAAGTCACTCATTTCGGCGGAAGGACTTAACCTCTCCCTCTACGCCAGCATACCTTGCGCCTGGCCTTGGTATCAGCACCGTCCCCGATAACACCGCCACCAGTCACTTCAATACGTCTTAATTGCACCGCAGCTGCCGACATGCATTCAGGCGATCCAGGAAGTGGCGTAACCCATGGGGTCTGGGGTCGGAAAGTCCTCCAGCGGGTCCCGAAAGGCGCTCCCACGGTACCCGGCAAGCTGTCAGTTCAGTTAATACTGAGAATCTGCTGCGGGCCGACTCGCGGCGGCAGCTCTCACGGCCTCCTTAGGGAAACGGGCAATATTCGCGCCTAGAAAATCATCGGCCCACGGGCCACATTGGTGCCGACGCTGCCGGCAGCGGCACCAAAGGCTAGGGCAAAGGTGAACTTTCACGCGATTCCTGGATGATGAATTCTGGATGAAGTTTGTACACTGCACGGAACACGTGGAAAGAACGAAATGTGCGAAGAGAATACCTATCCAACATGTATGGCAAAAGTCAATGATTCAAAATAATTTATATTAGGACCAAAACGCGTTTCGATTATATCGACATCAGTTGGTCGTAAATCAGTCGATTTATGATTTATTTTGGTCCTAATATAAATTATTTTGAATAATTGACTTTTGCCATATATGTCAGTATGAGCTTAAACAATTTCCAGCATATCTGGATATCTTTCAGCTTATCTGGATGTCCAGATATCCAGCATATCTGGATATCAGCATATCTTTCCAGCTTATCTGTGCATATCTGTATACCTATTTGAGGTGCATGTTTGTCGGTTTCTTGGATTAGCCCGATGTGGTGTTGAATTTACACGATAGGCAACTCTTTATAGACGTTATTCGAAATAATCTGATGTGACTAGTTGCTGACTTCTCTGTTGGGATCTGAATATTTCCAGCATGGCATTATGGAACAGATCCTTTGCTTTTAATGAGACAATCTGCAAGGGCATTACTGGGGATAAATACTGATTAGTTGCATATAACAAGCTGAACGGAGTTTTATAGCCTTTTGAACTAAACTAGGTAACTATATCATACAACCAAATAAATGTGTTTGACAAGAGGCATTTGTTGCATGCACAGAGTATACCATAACCTCGACTTTCGTCTTCTTTAGAGAAAAATAGCTTAGACGATCAACCAATTAATTCAATCTATGACGAAAGACAAAAAAAGCATCAATATTTTTGGCTTCCTTTTTACTGCAAAGAACCTTTCATTCAGTCAGGAACGTTTTACTTCCAATGTTGTAGCAATTTCGCAGTTCTATGCCTCCGTTATCCACGCTCACTTTTTATGACATTTTTACGCGCACGCGTCGAATGGATACTGGTATTGGAAAATCCAGAGCCAAGCCGCCATCCAGATTATGTGACTCGATTAGTCCGTGAGCTCACTCACTCTCTCGAACAGAAATGCTCTCATGTGACAGGATAAGATCAAACGTGGGACCGACTCACGCGAAAAGGAATCTTTCGTCGAAAAACATTTTCAAAATCTTACTCGCATTCGCACAGTATGTCCTATCAGATGATATGAATACCGAATGGTTGCTGAGGTGGAGACCAAGTATTCATATGTTTATGCCTGGAGTCTTCTCATACCTATCTCTAATCATATTTTGCTTTAATTAAAATGCAGGAATCTGATGACAATCTTCCTTACAAAACAGCTTGACTTCATTCGCTCCAGGCTATCTTTCCTTGCCACAAACACGTCATAATATGCGGCCGATAGCGTGGCTGGTATCACAACAGGCCGTCGCTCCTCCTCTCCTATCGTACCGGGTCCGGAAACAGCGGTCCAAACGGTGGCAGAGGCCGGCGAGCGGCCCGGCCAATCCCGTCCAATCAGCGCGCCGGAGGCAGTATACGTCACTAGTGCCGCTGATCTACGTCACTGGCGACGATTCCGACGCAGAACACTTCCTGGGGCGAATGGCCCGATCAGGCCCCACGATGACCTCCCGGCCGGCCGAATTTGACCTCGGCGCAATGTCCATTGTCCACCAAGGGGAGTTGAATGAAGCGATTAACCTTGAGAGCCAGAGAGGGTCCAATAAAAAAACGGAATGTAAGGATGAATCTTCGTTTCCATCTTCCTATTGACAAAATCAGTTTGCCTGTCTAGCAAAGGTATCATTACTACCCGACTGGGCTTCCGGTTTCCACTTACTTAGAAATCGCCTATAGGTAGCCTCTAAAAAGTCTCATCGTTCTAAGAGGTGAAATTTACGACTTTGATGGGATTTCCACACGAAGAAAAGATACAGGACGATGATAAATGAACGACAGTAGTAAATGTCACTATGCGCTTTGTCGTGTCGGTGCACGCCGTCATGTGTCATTGCGCACGGCGTCGTGTGTCATCACCCGGAGACAGGCGAGTGTCGTACAGCGCAGCGCTGCCTTACATAATGACCTCCCGAGCCGCCTAATAGCACCCATTGAAGGGCATCAGCTGTGCCCGTTTGAACGCTAAGCATCTACACGTGTTGAATGAAGGCACACTTGAGCGTCGAAACTGCTGTCGATATAAAACGGCCAGTGACGAAGCTCTCTCGCCAGGAGACTGCCTCGAACGGACAGGCTAGGGTTACGAGTGTCGCGCCCATCGCAGTGACGCCATCATGGGGGCCATCGAGCGGAAGAAGCGTGACTTTTACTGGACTAGCGCCGGCGAGCCGCACGCCATCCGTCGGAAGGCGATCCTGGAGAAGTACCCGCAGATCAAGGAGCTGTACGGCTCCGACTGGCACATGTGCGTGCAGGTGGCGCTCCAGGTGCTGATCCAGTTCGGCATGCTCTTCTACGTCCGCGACCTCTCCTGGCCATGGCTGGTGGCGGTCACCTATGTGGTCAGCGGCACCATCAACCACTCCATGGTGCTGGCCATCCACGAGCTGGCGCACAACCTCGCCTTCGGCCACAACCACGCGCTCGCCAACAAAGTGTTCAGCATCTTCGCCAACCTGCCGATCGGCGTGCCGCTGGCGGTGTCCTACAAGAAGTACCACATGGAGCACCACCGCTACCAGGGCACTGACGGGCTCGACGTGGACCTGCCCACCGAGCTGGAGGCGCGTCTCTTCAGCTCCACTCTCGGCAAGGTGGCGTGGCTCTTCGTGCTGCCGTTCACCTACTTCCTACGCCCGGTCTTCGTCCGGCCGAAGCCCTTCTCAATGATGGAGATCGCCAACATCGTTGTGCAGGTGGCGGCCGATTTTGCCGTCTACCACTACTTCGGCGGTAAGGGGCTGTTCTACCTCATCGGAGGTTTCGTCCTGGGCATGGGTCTGCACCCGATGGCCGGCCACCTCATCTCGGAGCACTACATCTTCAACCGCAGCAACGAGACGTACAGTTACTACGGCTGGATGAACATGCTGGCGTTCAACGAGGGCTACCACAACGAGCACCACGACTTCCCCGCAGTGCCCGGCTCCAAGCTGCCCATGGTCTCCAAGATCGCTCCGGAGTTCTACAAGGACCTACCGACGCACGATTCTTGGTTCGGCACGCTCTACAACTTCATCTTCAGGGATGACGTCAGTCCGTACTCTCGCATCAAGCGAGAGAAGAAGGCCAACCAGCAGAACGTCGATCTGTTCCGGTAGACGAGCCAGTGAGATACTCCTGACCGTGATGAGGCCAGTGATTATGAAGCAATATAATAAAACATTTCAGGCCGTCTGTCTTTTACATTTTATGTATGCTGGCTAAGGCATGGCCGACTGAATAGCAAAGACGTGCGCAATATTTATCAGCAATTTCTGTACGTGCCAGCAAGATATTACACACCGTCCTTTCAACTTTACCGCCACAGCTCCAGGAATTTTGTTAATTATTATGAAAATATTAGGTTTCGAAACATCGGGAGCAATAAATCAAAGCTTTGACTTACGTACCTAAATGCCTTGGATTTGCACAAGCATTTTGTCAACAGAATCTTCAGCAGTGATACTCATCATGAATTCAAAGCTATTCGAGCAGAAGTTAAATAATCCAAAATCGTAAAATTGAACGAATTCGGCTTTGTTCTCAGCGGAAGTAAGAACGAAGACGATGGACTGACGCAGCTACCTGAAACAACAGCCATGCAGTCTATTTGTTTTGTTTTGTTTTTTTTCGAACGTGGATGGCACAACAGCAATCATTCTGGGCTCTGGCCTTGAAGGTAAGGGCATAGTTATGATGTTAATCAGGAATCAATGACTGAGGTAATCTTATTTTTGTGAGAAAAAAAAAATCTGACAAAGACGAGCATGAATGATGGCCGAAAATCACGCAAGGCACACCTCAGGTCAAAAAGAATGCATCTCATAAAAAATTGTGCACGCCTAAAATATAATTATACGCTCACCCGAAGCGACAGACTTACGTTTTGCGTTCATGCCGATGACAAAGTAGGGGCAGGTGACGGACTGGGTCTCTCCGGCCTTGGTGTAGTTGAAGCAGCTCCAGCCGTCAAACACCCGCGGACAGTACTCCTCGTCTGAAACAGACCAGAGTGCTGAGGTGAGATCAGGGGGCTGGTGAAGACGCCGTGGTTGGAGGTAGCAATGGTGACGAGTAAATAGAGGGGGGGGGGTTCAACACAATATCATCAACTGAATGAGTATCGCTTAACCCGCGTCCCGCTGGGCTTTTCAGCCATACGCGCCCTGCTGGGGGGATATTTTGCCCGCTTGCACCCGACAACCAAATTTGATAAAGAGTGATTGATTCTTGCTCAGCTACGAGAAGCGGTGAAAAAAAAATGCGATTGCTTCTGTTAAGTTCTTAAATTTTCCGTTACGGTCCAAACTCCATAGACAAGCGGACATACGGTTTTACAAGAGTTAGGCGACGAAATACTCAGCTTAATTATTAAGTAATGGGCACCATTAGGTAGGCCATACAATTTTCTGTAGTACCGCATAGTCGCTGCAGTCAAAGGTGTTCTGGTTTTTATGCTACATGCCAAAGAATTTTTGCATGTAATCACCGGTGACACGACATATTTCTGCTTTATTGGGTTGGGCGGTGAAGTCGATGACGTGATCACAATGAAAATGGCTTAGTTTTGTAGAACATTGAATTCTGATTCCGGCACGACTCTCGCTAGTCCATTTTTTATTATAAATAAACCATTAATTGCGGTACAAAGTCAAAACTAGCCCGAAACGGCGCCCGCAGCGGCCGTTAGCACAGCGGCCTTATGGTAAACAGGTTAGTTCACATTCCCGCCGCTATGCGAGTGGCGGCGGCGCCACCTGTCCTCATGTCCGCCTTGGACCGTAACGCATGTTTATACATAACTGCCAAACGTCAGTGTCACTCTCATCGATGCATCATTCACTGACACGATATAAATAAGGACAAAGGCATCAACCTTCCACACAACGACCGTGAAAATAAGAAATAATTAACATCATACCATAACAACATACAAGTGCTTTGATGTACAAATTAGAATATGCGATGCCGGGGCTGCTGCTGCTGGCATTGATCAAAGAGACCCGAACTGTCTGGACTGCGAGCCCTCCGTTGCCCGGCTGCAGGTGTTACACATTCTTATATATTCATGAGCTGCTAGTGTCATTTCACCGTTTCGTGCATATGCGGTAAGGTCACCAACATTTGTCACCCGCAACTCGTTGGTAAATTGGCATTTTTACCACTTATCGTTGCATTATATAGGTCAAACGTTTCACAGTTATGAAAAGCTTCAGACTACATAACCAACTAGAAAGCCGTGCAAATTATGAAGCCTCCCGTCAAAGTTTGACGACTTCCATCAACATCCAAAAAGCCACAGATTACCTACCTATACAGAAATACATCACGACCCCAAACGAGAACAAGGCGTTACCCTTAAAGTCTAACGGGGGTAAAACGTGTTAAGGCTTTAAGCACACGCATAAGGAGGATATTAGCCCACACATTTATTTTATAGGTACGTTTTAATGCCAAACAGAAAATGGTTGAAGTTCAAATGATGCTGTGTTCCGATGCAGTTTATGGCACAATTTATCAAAGGCCAAAGCTAGAAGATAACCGGTGCACACTGGTCGGAAACGCCCTCACGAGAGGCCACGGGCGATTCCGGAGTTTCGGATTATTTTTTATATAGATCGATTTGAGATTGATCAAATTATTATACTTCGGCCAAAACAACTAATCCGGGTGACCAAAAATAACTGTAATCAGCACCCGAAGATGGGGTATCCCAGAACTCGGAAACTGACGCGGAGCAAGAGGTTTCTTGAGCCGGATATTCAGAGTCTTATTGCTGATAGACACCAAATTGAAATTCCACATATTATGCATCAAAATATTCGTCATGAAGTTGCCGACTGGTCAGTGCAAAATTTTTGGTATACTTTTTCCCTAACTAAGATGTACTATAGCTTTTTTATGAAGGCTCTCCTACAGTGATTCTGGAATATAACTGCAAAGTTTAGGTAAGGAAACAACAGGTAGTCCCATCTAGTTCCACTCTGATTTTTTGTGAGATGAAGTAGGATTTAAATTTACACCAGGGCAACATAAAAGCTAACTGCGCATATTTGCGCAAAATTTGCAGGAGCCGCTCTTCCTACCCAACTACCGCCCGCCCCGCCCCAGTTTCGGCTCGGCCGCCGCGCCCGGCTTACGCTGACCTGTGTGGCCTGCACGCATCCATGCGTAGTTGACTGGTCATTAAAAACAGATGCGCTTGAGTTTATGAATTTTGTGAAAAGCGCGTTTTATGTATGCATTTATGTATGTATTGACATCAAAAGCCTTCCACATATTGCGTGGCGATTACGGCTTGCATTTAGAGAGCCTTGCTATTGACAACCATCACTCGGCTGAAGAAAGTGGAAATTGAAACCTTCGTGAATATAAGACGCTGCAAATATAGGACACCTGTCACTGGCGTCAGGTTACCTTGGGCCGTCTTTTTACATTAGATCACAATTCCGGTATTTAACCCTGGCCGGACCGATTGGTTTTCTATATTGACCGGGGAGGGTAGGTACAACTCCCTCGCCGTTTCGCCTCTAATTGAGCTAGAGCCTCGCGGAAAAAACAAGCTTGTGTGCCGTTATAAGACGCAAAAATTAGGTACTACCCGATTTTAAGGTCTTAGGTCAGCCAGTGACCTCTTAGGTCAGGTAAGTGCCACAAGGCACGGGCTCGGTTTTAGGTTAATTACTTTGCCAAAAATGGTCGCACTGCCGCGATTTTGGCATCATCGTGTTTGTCTAGCTTAGGCGCGTTGAATGCTATACTTGGTGTTCGGGTGAAGTCAACTTAAGGTGTTAACCTCGGGTCAAGGTCAGGTCGGAGCCCCTCAGGTCACGAAAATGGTTGAAGGAGGTCATATTGCATATCATTCGATTCGGCAGGTCTTCCTGAGTCCAATGGTGGCTTTCACGACTCTCTAGCTCCATCTGATCAGGAGTTATTGACGAAAAACTTATATGGCCTTAGTGACGTCATAAATGACGTCACGCAAAGTCAACAATGCTAAAGTCAAGCACTGGACCTTGCAAGGAGTGCATGAAACCATTCCCGGTGCCCGAATAGCAGCTCCCAATTTCCCTTGTTGACTTAAAGTGGTGCTAGATCCTGTATTTTACTCAATTATGACGTCATAACTTAACAGATTCACGTCATATATTTAGTGCTTGACATCCAAATGATAGCTTACATATGACAGAGAAGGTATGCAAAGTTTTATGAAGTTTGCTTCACTAGTTGTGGAATAACAAGCAAAAAACTTTTGCGGAAAGGCCGCTGGCCTCTCGCTGGAGCGTTTCCGACCAGTGTGCGGTGTCATAAACCTCCTAATTAGATGCGATTTGGGCGTGTCTATCCCATTTAGGGGCGTAGGTATTGGTGGGGGTTGCATCACATCAAATTGCAACATGTCGCTTACGCACCACATGTGCGCATTATGCGCATTATACGCAGCAAAGGGATGATGAGTTGGATTTGGTTATGCAACGAAATTAAATTAGGCCATCGGCTTAAGTAAATGCATGGCACACACGTGATCGATTTTTATATTGGACACACGCATTATAGGTTAATGTGTTGGGCAGTCTTTCATCTTTAGCGATGGATTGGTGACTGACGGCAGCAAAAAAAAAAGAAGAAATGATGAGCTTTCTTTTACACACACGATGGTCTTTCGGTTAAAATAAGTTTTCGGTCAAACCACGCATAAATAATAATGTTAAGATAAAAATAATGATAATAGGATTCGCCAATCTCGAATGACCTGTCGCTAGAATGCTCCTCTGCCAAAAAAAAAAACTCAGTTTGAAGCCTCTTATTCAAATTAAATTTTGCTCGTCCAGAAATTGAACGGGTCCTCAGTTTGCCTCCAGCTAAGTAAGACGAACGCATAAAGATTCGGCGGGACCATTGTCTCGGCGTCAGCTGTCGGTGACGTCACCATGTCGTGACGTCACCGAGGCAGTCGGGAGAGGACGGTACGTGGCGTCTTGCGACGAACGCCGGACACTGAGCATGATATTGACGAGATTATGCCGGGCCTTTGGCAGCACGGAGCGTCACTGGTGGACTGCTACCGATGCGTACCATACTAGGTGGAAATAGGCAGAAAAATGGCGAGGCAAAGACAGTTAATTGAAAAGAAATTGTAAGACATTGTACCTATCGCAACAAAAGGCAGTAAGAATTAAGATTAATATCACTGAACCCAAACTGTCGAGTGTTGCTGATGCTATAATCATAAAAAACGACAGCAGCCATCCCTGTTGAGAAAATAAATTTCGATTGTGAGATGTAGGTAAAAAAAACTCGATAATGTACGCAACCTAAAAATGTACCTTGTAGAAATAAATATATTAAACCAGCTGAGCATTTAATTACGTTGCAGCATTGCGTCAATATTCTCGGCAAACTGCCAAGCTCTGCGATGGCGTGCCGTCGCCAAGTGCGCACGACACTTATTTGATTGACGGCGTTTTCAATTGCTCTCTGGCACGGTGTCCTTCCGTTACTTTGATGACGTCACTGTGCCAGCTGGCACAATACGAGGCACGTGCTGACCGATAACGCCAATAACGCTATACCCCAATGACGTCATAGAGCAATCCATTGCTGGCAGAGCGTTGGTAAATGAGCCCTGACGAAACGTGCGTTGGCTATTTGACGGCCATGGGAGGGGAGGGTCATATACGATCTGATCGGCGTGTTACCACATGCTCGTATTTTCAGATAGAACTATGACTTATGACTGCTGTTTTGGACATCACTGCCAATCTTTATGGGAGGAGAGGAGAGGAGAGAGAGAGAGAGAGAGAGAGAGAGAGAGAGAGAGAGAGAGAGAGAGAGAGAGGAGAGAGAGAGAGAGAGAGAGAGAGAGAGAGAGAGAGAGAGAGAGAGAGAGAGAGAGAGAGAGAGAGAGAGAGAGAGAGAGAGAGAGAGAGAAAGAGAGAGAGAGAGAATGCCACGAGTAAAAAAAAACATTTTTGTGACATTTTTCACCTTAAG